CTACTGTCGTCCCCTGCTTGGATGAACATCAGAGCCTCCAAATGCTTCTTCCTGCTCCTGCTCTTGCCCCACAGCAACCAGAATGAACGTGTCGGAATTTGTGTCAGATCACACCCCTCTTTTTCTCCAAGACCCTCCAGTGGTTCCCAACTCAGGGTAAAACCAGAGTCCTTTAAATAGCCTACAATGTCCTGCCTGACCTCACCTCCCTCATCCGCCCTCTGGCCTCACCTCCTGCCCTGTGTGCTCACTCCACTCCCCGGACACAGTGGGGGTCTTCCCTCGGGGCCTCTGCAGCCACTCCTCCCTCCGCCTGGAATGCTCTTCCCCTGAGACTCTGGCTAATCCCCTCACCTCCTTTAATTAAGTCTTTGGTTAAACATTACGTCCTCCATGAGACCTACACTCTCTCCCTTAATACCATTGCAACTTCTGTTTCCAATAGCATACATTACCTTCTACTTATGTTTACTGCCTGTCTCCTCCTGCTAGGACATAAGCTCCACTAGGTCAAGGAACTTTGTCCGTTTTATAGCACATAGATCACAGATACATCTCAAGCACACAGAACAGTATCTGTCATATAGTTAGTGTCCAGTAAATATCTGTTGAATAAATGAATTCCTGAGGCCAACCATCATAAAAATGTGAATGGTAGAGAGTGAGCAGAGGTGTGCCTAAGTGGATAACAAATGTTTTGTGAGATGTTGGGGGAAGAGAATAAGGGTTACAGGGGAGGATGAGGGACTTGACTCAGCTGCCGACCTGTTAGCCTTTAGCCCTGGATGCAATTCAGCTATCAGCAAAGCAACGTTCTGGCCCAAGTTGGCCCTGTAACCTTAGGTAAGGTCTTGACTCAAAGATGAAAATAATTTCAGGATTGTTATCAGAAGTAAATAAGGTAATTACGTATATAAAGTGCTGAGCACAGTGCCTGACATACATTGGGTGCCCCAAAATGTAGCTATTATAATTTATAAAATCCCAGCGTGCAATTTACTTCCCGAATTTATGAGGAGGGACCTCAGACCATACAGTTATTTCCCAAACCACAGTTCAGCAAGAATTCCAAGACTCATATTGAATTTCATTATAAAAAGGAGTATCGATAACTTCCACAAGATGGCACTGTGTCCCAGCCCTGCTTCCCTGCATGCAAAGGGTCTGAAACATTGTCAAATTGTGTGACTGATGCCCTCTGCTGGCTTGCTTTTGCTTTTCTTGACCTTGAGCCTTTGGCTTAGAAGGTGTAAATGATGACGCCATATGCTTCCTCGAGCATGCTCAGTGTGAATTCTTAAATCCATAATTTAAGCCAGCTGCCCAAATGCATGCTCAAAAGTTTACAGCATGGACACAGCATACAGGCATAATAACACTGACACCAAGGTGATGCCACACAGAACCACTGTGCTGTGGCTACTCTCATCCCTGCACAGCATTCCAGTGACATGGCGATCATGCATCAGGCCACAAAATAAAACACACCTGCTGCCCTGGGGCTCTGCCTCTCCTCGGTCCCTCAACACTACAATCCCCGGTACCATTTTGGAAGGATGGGCAACACTGCCTTCCTGTTCCTCCCTCCTTGCTCTCATTTACCACCCCTCACCCTCCAGCCTTACTTATAACTGAGGGTGACAAGAAACAGAGCTGGGAGGAACGGGTAAAGCTTCTTATGCAAACACGTATTTGACAGGTCGGGGTTTTAATTCCGATGCTACTTTAACCTTGTTGCCCCTTCTGCCTCCCCCGCCCACATACACCACACCATAATATTCTCCAAACACTTAAGTCATTAATATCCTACTTGCACCCTTTCAGTGTGGTTTAAATTTAAAGGCTGAGTGGATTACTGTACCTAAGTGATGAGTAACTTTCCCCACAAGTGTCGCACTGGGTCATTCCCATCACCGGGGCTCGCACCTCTCTGCCAGCAGCAACCCCACGAGGGGTACCACCGGTGAGGCTCGCCGTCCCTCAGGGGGCAGCAGCCAAGGGCTTGGGATTTAACACTTTCTCACGAAACACTTAATAATTTGTATTTGCATTGTTTCCCAGACTTTTCTGTAACCCATTTATATCCCTGGCCTGTGAGACTTAAGAGTTACATGTAGAAGGTATATAAAATGGTTTTTTCATTTGTCTTCAACTTACCCTGCTCAAATTTCAAAGGGTGTCTTCTCCTGTAAGTCATGATTTGGTGAATACCATTCGCTTTCACCCTTACCAGTTTTATAGGCAATAACTATCTCTTTTGAGCCTTCCTTCCAGGCTGTGTTCTAGTCTCTAATCCGTTTTCCCAGGCCAACCTCCTTTCCCTTTGATTCCTACCATTTTGGTTACTCTAATTCCACTACAGCCTGGTTGTGAAGCAACCAATTCCGTACTAAGAATTCCAAGCACAAAAGCACTGGATTAAAGATAATGGCCAGAGTTTTGAGCCAACGTCATCCAGACACTCCATATGGAAGACCTTAGCTGGCTGTGCCATCTCAGGCATCTTGAACTTAACATGACCCATTCTTTATTTCTTATCTACTTCACCTCCAAGCCTGCTCTCACTCCTGTTTTCTCATGGAATAGTTGTTGGATACACAAATCCACTCAAGGTAGAAGCTCTCCAGTCATCCTCTTCCCCTTCTCCCTTCCAATATGAATTTACTAGTTCTGAAAGTCTCTCTCATCAGACCCCTCACCTCCTTTGCCCACTGTCACCACCCTTCATCCAGACCCTCATTTCTACTGTCCCCATGCTCGGCCTCTGTAGTTCAACTAGAACACCGCTGCCAGAATTTTATACAAACACACACACACACACACACAAATACATAGTGCATTTGGTGGGAATCCTGCATCTCTTTTCAAAATCTTCTTAATTTGCCACTGATTACAGGATCCAATAATTCAAGGTATTCACCACTCTCAGACCTCAGCCCGTCACGACCGCCTGTCCATTTGGGCTGCTCTCCAGGGCCAGGATGCCTCAGGCCCTGTGCACTTGGGCCTACTGCTCACCCTGATTAGAGCATCCTTCTCCCCACAGCCACCTCCTTTCTACCTGAATTAAATCTGCTGCCCCACCCTGCATCCTCACATCCAACCCCCCACACCCCACGCCCTGCCACCTCCACACTGAACTTCTATAACCAGCAGGCAGAACAGGATTGGGTAACTCAACACCATACAGGATGACAGAGCTGAAAATGACAGCACAGACACAGTAGTTCATCCAACAAAGGAACTAGTCTTGAAAGTGATTCAAATTTGGGGAACTTTCTGCTCATCACCACGCATGCAGTCACTATGTGAGTGCCCTAAAGTTAATCACTGGAAATCCATTCAAATAAGGCAAATGGATTAAAACACACACACACACACAAAGACCATTTTTATACAACTCATTACTACATTCAACCACTAACCCCTGGCCTGGTTCCTCACATAGACTGAATAGTAATGAGGAGCCAATTCTGGCCCATCTAGGCACGTGAGGGCCAGACCCAACACAGGCAGTAGACAGATGCTTTGCGTTCCACAGGTCAGTCTCCAAAATCCTTCTCTCCACGTCAGCCAGCGTCCTTGGACTGTGAAAGCGATCTAATTGGCTTCAGGGAAAACTGGCATCCTAACCCCGAAACACTGCGCTCATCCATCTAAACTAAAGCAGACAAAGAATGAGAGATGAAAGAGCTGAAGACACTAGTTCCCAGTCCTATTCAAGACAATTTTGAGAAATTATGTTCAGGGGGAAAAAAAAATTTCTCCTTAGGAATACTACAGCCCTGATGAAATTTCTGATTTGAGACTGATTTCTAGTGAGAAGCAGAAGTACAGGAACTTGCCCCAAATGAATTATTTCATGAGGACAAGCTATTCCAAGAGGCATCTGATGCATCTTGCACTGTCTGCCCTCAAGTCTCCCTCCAGGTCAACTTAATAACACCTAACACATTAATGCTATGTGTCTGACGTCCTTCAAAGCACTTTGCATAAATATACCTCATTTATCACAGTTCTAGAGGTAGATACTTTCATTCCCACTTTACAGATGAAAAAACTGAGAAATAGAAGTTAAGTAACTAGCTCGAGATGACTTTACTCCTTCCTTAGAAAGCTGGATTGCTTATTACCTGCAATATAAAGCCCAAATCCCTGAATACTCAGAGCCCTCTGTTACTCAGACCTCCCATTCCAACTTTCCCTCAAGTCCCCGTAACGCTCCCCGCCCTGCACTTCGTGCTCCTGCAGAGACCAGATGGGGCACAGATAGTCTCATCTTGCGTACAAGGGTTTTCTGGCCTGATTTAAATTGGACAGAGTTTACCAGTCAGATTTCGTATTAAAAAAATCACATTTACAGCAATGGGAATTTCATTTAGAATTTTATCTGGACTTCTAAAGATCTGAAGCCAGGCCCAAATTCTGACTAGACATGAGCGGGAGGATAGTGGGTACCCTCTTTGGATGGGCATGCCCTCTCCACAGTCTTCCAGTTGCCACTGGCCACACAAAGCATGCTAGCTCCCCTGGCTCCTTACTAAAGCCTTTGCCACCCTGCCCTACACCATCTTTAGCTTACCCGAATCTCACCTAATCTTCAAGGCGAAGCTCAAAGGCCATCTCTTCTAATATTTCCCCATGTCTCCAGCTCACTTTGACCTCCAGCCTCCTCACATTCCCCTAGCATTCTGCTTGTGTCTTATGACACATCATACTCTGCTTATAGTTTGTTGCACACATGCTTCACCAAGAACTAAGCAGAAACTCTGAATCAAGGTTAAGTGACCAATTCTGTGATCTTACGCAACAAAACTGGACGTGGCACCCAGGGTTCTAGGATTTGAGCTCCAGAGAAGTAACAGAGCCTGCACTTAGTACACTGCATTTAGTGGGTGTGCAAGTGAAGTGACATGCACATCCACATCCACACACACGCTCGTTCTCTTCACGTCCCTCTGTCTGCCTTCTGCTTACAGAAAAACCATGCAACAACTTGATGGATGTGTGGATGTGTTGTTAATTTTTTTTTTAAGTAAATAGAAACCACATCACTTCATTTGTTACAGTGAATAATGAGAGGCAGTAATTCAGGAGGGCCCCAAGCAGCTTTTTCATCCACAGAATAATAGAAAGGATAAGCACCTTCACCACCCAAGCCTTTGGTTAACGTTTTCTTTCGACCTCTGATCTCCCACCCACATAAGCACGCTGCTTCCAGAATGGAACTCTTCTAGCTGGAAGCCGAGTCTATCAGCTGGCCTTAACGGAAGGGAGGTCCCTAACTCAGCTGAGGAACCTGGACAAGTCTTCTTTGATTTCAGCCTCATCCCAAGGCCCATGAATGTTTTCTTTAAAAAGCTGCAGGCGAATGAGGTAGAAAGGGCAGAGGCACGAGATGGAAACCAGCAGAAGGGCAAATAGTATGGCTCCCACAGCGCTAATGGACAGGAGGCCTCCCAAGGCTGAAAATGCAAAAAGCAGTGTGACTCCCACATAGCTGCGTGGGGTGCAGGCCTTCAGTTTCTTCTGTAACATGGGCCACAGGGCAAAAATCTGGATGGCAAATGTCACCATGATGAAGGCATGCAGGGACCGGGGCAGGCGTGAGGCGAGGCAGACGGAAGCGAAGATGGCCATGTTCAAGGACAGTGTGCTGGATACGATGGCAGCGTTGGCGCCATAGTCAAAGAAGATGAGGTGGCCTAACAGCATGAAGACCGACATGGCGTAGATGGTGTCAGTGCTGACTGACTCCGTCAGGGTCTTCAGCACCGGCGAGAAACCGTAGGTGAAGGTGATGAAGACTAGAGCACTCTTCAAGTCAGCCCACCGGGTCCGCCCGCTCTTCTTCCGTCCTTCACCTCCATCAATGAGATCAAACAAAACATAGCCAATCAGTGAAGATGCCAGGCCGGTCCCAAAAAGCCAATGGGGGGCCAGAAGACCCTCATCCATATACCACCAGATAACCACAAAAACACAGACACTGCACAGCTGCTGTATCACCACGCTGGACTCGAACACGACAGCCCAATACTGGTATTTCCGGGCATAGATGTTCTTCCGGAGCTCTTCCAGGAACCTCCGGTCCACGTAGTTATCAGGAAAGGGCTGTCGCTCATACAAGACTTTCTGCCACCTGGCCTCTTTGGTGTTAGTTACAGGCTGGGCACACATTATCCTTTTCCTCAAGCTCAGGCCAGCTCAGTCGCCCTTGCAGAAGTCCATGTGGTTCTCGTTCTTTACAAAGTTTTGAAATAAGACCTCTCTGGAAATTCCATGCTGCGTCCTGGTTGGTATCGTACTGACCTTCCCTTGCTTTCAAAGGCAGCAACCCAGGCTAGGCCTGCGGCAGTTGAGTCTGTCCCCTGAGGCAGGACAATACAGCCAAGTTCCTAGAAAAAGAGGGACGATGTATCTATGAAAGTGGTGAAAGGTCCAAGGTAGGACTAAGTTAAAATCAAACCAACTTATTAGTTTGTTAGAAGTTTATTAGAAGTCTGAGTAAAATATATGTGGTGGCCATCTTATAATTACAGACATTAAAATTTCATTTCAGATTTCACATTATAGTCCTTTGTCAGCTATCACTTACCGAGTGCCTACTATGTGCTAAGAGCTTACAGAGCTTTTCATTTAATCTCCACAACGTTGCAAGTTAATACCAGCCCCACTTTAACAAATAGAAAAGCTGGGATTCAAAGTGCTTATGTAATTTTAGCCCAAGTTAACAGTAGTGAACAGTGGAGCCAGGTTCAAATCAACGTTTTGCCCCAAAGCCTGTTCCTCACGTGTCTCCCTCTAAACCAGTTCTTAACTCAGGCGTTCACATATCCCTGAGGTCTATGGATGGCTTCAGACCGTTCAAAAACCCTCCTTGTCAATGCATACTTGTAGCTGCAATGCATACAAATTTCTAGGGCTAGGAACCCAAGCTTTTACTGGGTTCTCAAAGGCTAGTACTTGAAAAAAAAAAGAAGTCACCAGTCTACAGACAAAAGTAAACCTCACAATACAGAAACGTATGAGCTCTATGCTTTACGAAACCAAAACCAAGGACTCAAGATTCTTAATCCATTAACAGCTATCCTTCAAAGAGCTATCGTCCTACTTAATAACGGCAAAATTCTTAGGAGGATGGAAGATAATGAACCCCTCCACACAATGGGAAAACTAAAAGAAGTACCAAGGTCATCCAGCAAGTCTGCGAAGACAATTCTTACGTCCCAACCTTATTTCTTCCATGGAGACCACCGACAGGTTTTGCTTCACAAGCCAGAC